TAAACGCCCTAGAATTGTTGCAGTAGCGCCACCGGTGCAAGAGGTAAAATGGCAGAAGCAGCCGGATTTACCCCGCCGTCGATGGATTGGCAAGCCGCAGATTTACCTGATGAATTCGAGCGGTTCCAACAATACTGCCTTCTACTTTTCCAAGGGCCCTTTTCCGACAAGTCCGACAAGGAAAAGGTCGCCTATGTCATGCTATGGATCGGGAGAACTGGTGTTGATGCTTTCAATAGTTTCGAGTGGGATAATGCAAGCGACAAATCCAAAGTAGCTGCCGTCTTCAAGAAATTTAATAAGCATTTGCAGCCACGGGTAAATGCACGACTGGCTCGGTTTGAGCTTCAGAAATACCGCCAGCAACCCGACGAGTCTGTAGATGATTTCTTTGCGAGGTGTAAGAAGAAGACGTCCAAGTGCAAGTTCAGGATCGCTCAGGAGACTAACGATCGCCTGATAGAACAGCTAATCGTGGGGACGAAGCACTCGAAAGTGCAAGAACGCCTGCTGGAGGGTGGTAGTGATTTGACTCTGGACGAAGCGCTTGACAAGGCCCGTACTTATGAAGCAACACAGCGCCACATGGAGCAGCTGTCCACCGCCACCAGCAGCAGTCGTCTACCTGAAACGGTTCACGCCATTTCCAAATCTGTGGGACACGCAGACTGCGGCAAATGTGGACGAACCCACCACCCAAGCAAGTGCCCAGCGCACGGCTCCACCTGCAACAAATGCGGGAAGGCGAATCACTGGGCAAACGTATGCCGTTCGCAGGGGAGAGACGAGGCACATGGAAGGGGCCAGCAACGCGGACGCTGGCGCCAGAGGAGCCCCAGCCCGCGGGAGCGCTACCCCCAGAGGAGCCCCAGCCCACGGAGACGCTTCGACGCACTGCATTTCGACGCCGTCATCATCGACAGCGTCGAGCGTCACCAACCGCCACTAGAGCGAGAGGTGTTCGCGACCCTCAATGTCAGCCTGGACAACACCAACAGACCGGCCACCTTGAGAGCCAAGGTGGATACGGGCGCCCAGGGCAATATATTGCCGCTGAGAGTGTTCTGCCAAATGTTTCCCCAGCACGTCGGACCAAACGGATACCCAAAGCCGAAGTCCGTGAAGCCGTCAAGTACCACCCTCACAGCGTACGGCGGATCCAAGATAAAGCAATGCGGAACCCGTCCTATTCCGTGCTCTTACGATGGCAAGAGTCAACTCGCTGACTTCTACATCACGGACTGCCCTGGCACTGCTATCATCGGCCTCCCGACAGCGACAGCCCTGCAGTTAGTCACGCTGAACTGCGCTGTCCAGGAGAAGCCAGCGAGCATCCGAGACAAGGACGACCTGATGAAGCAATACCCGAAGTGCTTCGATGGCATTGGGAAATTCCCAGGCAAGTACCACATCACAGTGGACCCCAACGTCGTCCCGGTTGTACACCCTCCACGCCACCTCCACGCCATCGCACTGAGAGACGAGATCAAGACGGAGCTGGAGGACATGATCCAGAACGGCATCATCACCAAGATCCAGGAAGGCGAACCAACAGCATGGGTGAACAGCCTCGTGTTCCGCCTCAAAGACAATGGCAAGCTACGCCTGTGCCTAGACCCCAAGGACCTCAATCACGCCATCCTGCGAGAGCACCACGTGGTCTCCACCATTGAGGAGATCACCCCGAAGTTGAGAGGTGCCAAAGTGTTCTCGATTGTCGACGTCAAATGTGGGTACTGGAATGTGGAGCTCGACGACGAATCCAGTTACCTCACCACCTTCAACACACCATTCGGGCGCTACAGATTCCTTCGCATGCCATTCGGCCTCAAGATGTCGCAAGATGTCTTCCAAGCAAGGATCGACCAGACGCTCGAAGGGTGCTCAGGCGTCACCGGCATCGCAGACGACATCGTCACATACGGGACGTCAGACGAGGACCATGATCTCAACATGCACCAGATGATGGTTCGCTGCGAACAATCTGGTCTCAAGTTGAACCCAGACAAATGCCGCATCAAAGAGGACAAGATCAAGTTCTTCGGCATCATCTGCAGCGCTGACGGAATACAGCCCGACCCGAAGAAGGTCTCAGCGCTGAAGCAGATGGAGCACCCCGAGAACGAGGACGAGCTCCAGACGTTCCTCGGGCTAGTCACGTACATGAGCCCGTTCATACCGAATGCCAGCACACTGACCGCGCACCTGCGTGAGCTGACCAAGCCAGATACACCGTTCGCCTGGACAGACAGCCACCAGCGCACCTTCGACAAGGTCAAGGCCGCCATTTCGACAGAAGTAACGCTCAGTTACTTTGACCCAGGCAAGGCAATGACACTACAAGTCGACGCTTCCATGAAAGGTCTCGGCGCCACTCTGCTGCAGGACGACAAGCCTGTTGCATTCGCCAGCAAGAAGCTTACCGAGACGGAGTCTCGCTACGCCAATATTGAGCGTGAGCTCTTAGCTGTCGTATACGGGTGTGAAAGATTCCACACCTACCTATTCGGTCAGTCATTCACAGTAGAATCCGACCACAAGCCGCTGGAGTCAATCAAGCTCAAGCACCTCCGCGCAGCCCCGCCGCGTCTACAGCGCATGCTGCTGAAGCTGCAGCCGTACGACATGACCATCAAGTACCGCCCCGGAAAGGACATTCCGATCGCAGACGCGCTATCCCGACTGTCGCCAGAGGAAACAGAGCCAATTGAGGACCTCGACGTCAGTGTACACGCCGTGTTCCCGCAATTCAGCGATGCAGCGATGACGAGGATCCGCGAGGAGTCGGCTAAAGACGCCGAGATGTCAGCACTGAAGGAGATGATCTTCAGTGGCTGGCCATCAGAGAGGAGCGCGGTGCCGGCAATTCTGCTCCCGTACTGGAATTTCCGCGACGAGATGAGCACCGAGGACGGTCTCATCCTGAAGAGCAGTCGCGTCCTGATTCCCCCGCCAATGAGGGGGGAAATCCTCAGCAAGCTGCACGCCAGCCACCAAGGCATAGAGAAGACCAAGCTGCGAGCCAGAACGTCCGTCTTCTGGAAGGACATCAACAAGGATATCGAAGCAACTGTCTCATCTTGCACGACGTGCCAGCGCCACCAGAGCAGTCAAGCCAAGGAACCACTGATGCAGCCCGATATTCCGCCAAGGGCATGGCACACCTTAGGCACGGACCTGTTCTACCTCGGCGGGTCAGAATACCTCATTGCCGCCGACTACTACTCCAAGTACTTTATCACCCGGAAGCTGCCTGCCGGACAAGCGACCAGCAGGGCCATCATCCAGCACCTCAAGGAGATTTTCGGTGAGCACGGCATCCCAGCCGTGCTGAAGTCGGACAACGGGCCGCAATACAGCAGCCATCTGTTCGCGGAGTTTGCTGCCGAATATGGATTCCGCCACAGTACGTCGTCGCCACATCACCCGCAGAGTAACGGGTTTATCGAATCGCAAGTCAAGATCGCTAAGAGAGCTCTCGAGAAGGCAAGGGAGAGCGGGACCGACCCGCAATTAGCACTGCTGTGCATTCGCGCCACCCCAGTGTGCCAGGGCTTACCGTCGCCGGCCGAGATGCTGTTCGGTCGTCAGGTACAGGACAACCTGCCTCGCAAACACCAGCGCGACACTCGGGACGAGGCCATCCGACAGAAGCTCGAGGAACGGCAGGACCAGCAGAAAGTACACCATGACCATCGAGCGCAGTCTCTCCGCCCCCTAGTTCCTGGTCAGCACGTCGGCATCCGCAGCCCGACCACGCACCTGTGGGAACCTGGTATCGTAACCCAGTCTGTCAACGGGCCACGGTCATACATGGTGCAGCCTGACCATGGGACAGAAGTGCGGCGCAACCGTACCCACCTCAGAGAGAGGCGGGTCCACTTCCCGCCGGATGCCAGTCTCGCAGGCCCTCAGCCGCCGAGTGACGTGCCGTCGCCGTGGAGCGACGTTAGCCAGTCTCAGCCGCCGTCACCGTGTGACGTCAGCCAGCCTGCTGAACCTGCCACCCAGCTGTATCGAACACGGTCTGGCCGCGCAGTCGCACCCAGGTCAATCCTGGATGTGTAGGGCAAGAGAGGCCTCATGGACCTGTTCGCTTATGTCACAGTAGCTGAGGTGCCATTGTTATATTGTACATAGAGCTATTGTTGGATACTATGTCTCTGTATTGTTAGCACGCCGTCGTGTGCCATTCATGATTGTTACCTTGTACATAGAGCTATTGTTGGATGTTATGTTCTATATTGTGAACACGCCGTCATACACGTACGGTATGTTATGTAGGTTGTTAAACTCCTTTATGACGAAGGGGATGTTGTATTATGATGTAATGCATTACGTAGCCATGCAAGAGCATGCGCGAGATACGCATCTCGCAGCTGCCTACTTTCATGCAGCATCCTTTAGATGTAGTGGTTCTTATGATTTGCCTACAATGGCCACGTGAGAATATAATCCTATCGTAAACTACTAACTTGTTTACCCCGAAACAGTTCCTACCTGTGGATGCAGCTGGGGACGCTGGTCCACAGGCCATGGTCGTCGATGAACTCCCATGTTGGATATCCGATGGAAGTAACTATGTGACTAGCAAAGTTACACTGCCACTGATACCATGTACTAGTGATGGTGTTACCCTATGCTGTGCTGTGATCCTACGCCCTCCTGACCTCGTGCTACTGGTGCCTTCGGGTCCCGTCATTCGCGATTTAGGTGGAGCAGTTCACATTATGGGGGACAATAGAGAGGTTAAGATGCACGTTATTTCTGACGTGACGCGAAAGTTCAGCTCGCGTTATTTGCTCGCACGTCGAAAAATCAATGCGAGTGACGTGCTGCTCACGTCGAAATTTGGAGTTTTACGCCAAATTTGACGTGAAATTGCACGTCAAGTCAGAAATAACGTGCATCTTAACCTCTCTAATGGGCCAGTTTTAATTTCTTACTTTTACGACGGGGCAGCGCCAGTAAAGGTTTTTCAGAAGCGCTCACAGAGCAAAGAAGTGGCCACCATACACCAGAGACTTGCAGAAAGTCACATATCCAACAGATAGAAAAGTGAACAGCAATCTGGTACAGCCCACACAAGACAAAGCTGACCTGATACTTGTCCCAGGATCGCAAGTGGCAGATCCTTTTCGATGCATAACATGCAGGTGTACGTTACACGCATGGACAAAATCTGACCGTGTCGCCAGCATACAATGTCATCACATGTATACCCCACAAGTTACACACATGCACAGTAGAAGCACAATGAAAGCAATGGAAAAGTACGATGTGGTTGCTGAAGCATCTTCGCACTTCAAATTCAGACTTCAATGTGGTCGTCACGAGATGATATACCTGCAAGATACAAGTGATGCAGAAAGAAAGCATAAGGTCGTGAGGTAGGCTATGAGACACCACAAACGGGTCACCTACATGTATGTTCAGGGCTAGGCACTCGCACGCAGAATTATCATAATCGAGCATTTCCCAAACTGAGAAGTGCAAGGAAATCCACTTGCATGCACAGGAGCAATTTTGACGCTGGTGTGATGCGCAATTCGAGACAATCTGCGATGCTGCGTGCTCACCTCTGATGCCGATTACTTCCTTGCTTAGACTGGCCCGGTCTGCTCTCCCTTCACTCTCTTCTAAATCCTACTTGGAGCAGTAAGGCTGTGTCACTGCTCCTACTGATAAGCCAGTTAGGTTGTGGTCATTGTTGTGAAAGCAATATCATCGTCATTGTGGTAATAACATACGTTTTTGCACAGCGGCTGGCGCTAGAACGTGCAGCAAGCAGCACGCTTGTACTTCGGATTTTGCGATTTTTCGAGGGCAATGGCTTCCTTTTTGCTTTGGCTACCTACGAATTACGACTAAAAAATCTATGAGAAGTATTTTTGGAGCTGGAGTACGAGTGGGGTTGTCTGATAAGTGCTAGGAGAACCCTCCTTTGTGGCTGTAGAGCGCTAAAACGTACCCTGTTGGCCGAAAAATCCGAATTTTTTTCTCCCGGGGGACACCCCCGTTGTACCACTCCCAACCGCCCTGTGACGCCCCTGTCATTGTAGCTTACCTGCTGTCTTTCTTGGAGATGCAGTAGCAGCTGAGGACTTGCATACAATCTCTGTTTCAACTGCAACTATTTCCACAATGTTGTCAGGTATTGGTGCGGGCGACACACGCAGATTCTACACACGCAGAAGGAAAGAACACACCATGAACATATACCTGTTACTACATGTACATGTACATGTTGCCACTGTCAAATATTCCACAGGCAGATGGTTGGGATGGAGAGGAGAGCAACATCAGCAACAGCAGAAGCAGCAGCAGCAATAGCTGCACTATTAGCAGCAATAGCAGCAGCAGCAGTACCACACAGCAATTCACCACACTATACCTCAGATTGTATTCCCCGTATGAGCATAAAATGTCCAGTGGCCTTGTCCTCGCGAAACCGGCTTTCATACTCGTTCAACAGAATCTACAGCGCACGTTGCACAGGAGAATTCATACTCATTCAACAGAATATACAGCATACATTGCACTGGAAAATGCTTGTACATTGCAGAGGAGAATACTGGCTTTCATACTCGTTCAACAGAATCTACGGTGTACATTTGACAAGAGAATACAAGGCATAACGATTAAGCAAATCTACGCCAATAGTTATGTATGTCCCTGAAGATAGGCTACTGTAAAACCGGAAAATTTAGGTGGAGATTTATTTTCGGTAACTTCGGTTTTACCCACACATCACACACGACAACTTACCTCCACGGTCGACATGAGCTCCCCAGGATCCCCCAGCTCATCGGGACATGCCCTCACCATCGTCGTGGAAACGTTAAGCTCGGCCAGCAGCCATCGCAAGCCATCAATCTCATACGAGCTGAGACAGGCCATGTCCGAGAGCAGGCAGGATGGCGGTGATGGAGGTGGCTTGCCGCCTTGTGAGCTGTTTCCATCTCCTGACGAAGCAGCAGCAGCAGCAGCAGCTGCCGCCGTCGCTGGCGACTGGGCTGCAGTGTCATCCGTTGACAGCAGTGGGATCTCGGCGCATGCGGGCGCAGGAGAGAGCTTCGCTGCGTTCGTATCTGTCAGCGATCAGACAATCAGAATATACAAGCCCATATTTAGGCATAGGATAGCTGTCGTGAACAGCATTCAACCGGCAACACCCAACAACAAGAGTACTGTAATATCACAAATTGTTGGTGTACTTTTTTTTCGGTACGTTTGGTGCGTCTGTTTCATACCTAAAGTTTCAATACACCGAACAAACACTAACACACATAATCCAATAGGGAACTGCTTCTCTGCACCTAAAAGTTCTGTTCACCTAACCTGGCCTTTTGCCCTCATACTGAAAAATAGTGAGCACCTAAAATTTCTGAAATTAGAGTATATAACCCCCAAAGAGTCTGAAACTCCCGCACACCCTGCTGTCACCACAGAATTTCAAGTTGACGTCATTTTTATGATGCAATGTTCCACGCACCAGTG